CCACGCATAGGAACAGCTGTGAGAGAACTCAAGGGCTTGGGCCACCTGCTTCTCTCCCCAGGTGAATAAGCCCAAGGAAGACTGGTACTCACTCAGGCCTGGCTCTAATAAGCCCAAGGAAGACTGGTACTCACTCAGGCCTGGCTCTCTGGTGTGAAATGGGGGCCCCTTAGCACCTGCTTCCCCAGATATGAAGAGTAAACGGGACTCTATGAAGCCCAAGCCAAATGTGGCCTAAGAGGGGAAGTCCTCTTCACTCAACTCATCCTGGTTTGAGAAGAGAGACCTATGTAGACTGAGATGCAGAACCTGGATCCCGGCAGGGAGGTGATGACTCCTAGTTACCACCTCTAGCTTTCTGTTGTCAGGTGGTTGTTGTTGTCATTATTGTGTGTGTGTGTGCGTATGTTTGAGGTAGGAGGGGACATGCCACAATGTACATATGGAGGTCAGAGGACAACTTGCAGTAGTTGGTTCTCTGCTTGAGGTAGAGGATCAGAAGTTCTAGGTCATCCTCAGCTACATAAGGAGCCCAAGGCTGGCCTGGGCTATATAAAACTGTCTCAAATAAACCAAATGGAAAAAACAACAACAAACCCACAGTTCATTCAAGCTGGTGAACCTAAACATACCGAAAGCACTTCATTTGGCCCTCTGTTCCTGAGGTACTCAGGAACTACTATGTGCCAGGCCCTGCACAAATTGCTCTAAGACAGCCCAGCCTACAGGTGGAGGCCATACCAGGCAGGACAAGCAGCAGGTGCAGGCAGCAGAGGGCAATAGCACAGCTTCAGGTTGTTGTGACCACACAGCATAGCAGCATCCAGGGAGCACTGGAAGGCAGCTCTGTGTTATATATAGCTGGCTGCACAATACTGTTTCCATGCATTTTATTTTGCCATGTGGAGGGCCTGGCTGGCCCTGTCTAAGACTGCTGAATGCTGGCTCTAGTTGTGTGAATTAAATCAAAAGCTCTGAGTTGTAGCTGGGCACATTGGTGCATGCCTGGAATTCCCTAACACAGGGAAAGCTGATGCAGAAGGCTCAGGATTCAAGTTTAGTCTAGGCTACAGTGAGTTCTAAGCCAGCCTGGGTAGCCCCATCCAAAAAGAAAAATCTTTGGAGTAAAAGGTCAAGCAGAGCTGTTCACTGTATCCCCCTGTCCCATGTCACCCCACCCCCCACCCCTATATCAGCTTGCCTCTCACAGCCCTGCTTCTACAGTCTGGAAAAAATTAACTAAGTCGCCTTCTTGTAAGGCTGTCCAGACATCTAGCAAATATTTAGAGACCCAGAATGGGGCCAAGGAGCATGCCATCAGCCTAATACTTAGTAGGTGCTTCATAAATGGCATTGACACGTGAAAAGTGTGAACCATGGAAGGCCTTTCAGTCAGAGGGCCTTGCCTTAGAGGAAATGGCAAAAGGGTGCTTACAGGGAGAGACCCTCAACCCTGGGTCTGACTCCCTCCCATCCCCTGCTCTGTGCCCCAACCTTCTACAGCACCTATTCCCAGCACTCGGGAGGCAGAGGCAGGCAGATCTTGGTGAGTTTAAGGCCAGCCTGGTCTACAGAGTGAGTTCCAGGACAGCCAGAGCTACACAGAGAAATCATCTCTCAAAAAAACAAACAAGCATCTGCCTAAACTGCTGTGCACCTTCAGTTGGCTTGGGCCACTGGGAATCCCCAGCGCAAGACCCTAAGGATGTGGCCATTGGTGAGCTAGGACATAGGAGTTCTCTGGCAGAAGGGCCCAAATCACCAGTGACTGGGTGACTGACTTGGTTGGCTAATAAGCCTTAGTTCTGGGGGCTGGAGAGATTACTCAGCAGTTGAGAGCACTGACTGTTTTCCCAGAGGACCTGGGTTCAATTCCCAAGACCCACCTAGTGGCTCACAACTGTCTGTAACTACAGTTCCAGAGGACCCGACACTCTTATACATGCAAAACCAATGCACAACAAATAAAAAAATAAGTGCTTTTAAAAAAGAGAGAAGGAGCCAGGTGTTGGTGGTGTATGCTTTTAATGCCAGCACTGGGGAGGCAGAGGCAGGCGGATCTCTGTGAGTTCAAGGCCAGCCTGGTCTCCAGAGTGAGTGCTAGGATAGGCTCCAAAAGCTATACAGATGAAACCCTGTCTTGAAAATCAAAAAAAAAAAAAAAAAAAAAAAAAAAAAGGGGGGGGGGGGAAGGGGGCAGGGGGGGGGGG